TATGAGGGTGCTACAATGCAGGGGCTGCCTGCCGCCTAGCATTGCACTGAAGCACCCTCATACCCCAGCCAGCCCCTCCACAGCATGTTGAGATGGGTTGGAGGACCAACAGGCTGGCAGGCCGACCTTCGGGGCTGCACTACCCCAGCTCAATGAGCTGTGGTCCCAGGCACACATGTAAACACTGCACTCAGGAGCAATAAACTCCAGTGCAAACTGTGCCATAGTTTATTGCTATGTGCTAATTGCACGTGTAGCTGCACCCAGAGTGAGTGAGGATTGCAAAACCAGACCTGTGCGTAGCTGCTGCTTGGGCTAGCTTAGCCTTTCTTTAGGCTGGTGAAGAACAACTTTATTTAGCAACCACTGACTTAGTTGGACCACAGCGGTTCACTCTTTCACCTTGCACTCTTGATCTTCCTGTGGATTTTTGGAGGTGGCCATATCTACCATTGGCAGGTAGTGAGTCCACAGCTTTCTTTTCAGCTGCTAACGTGTCCCAGAAGGCAGTGCTTCTTGTGCAGGAGACTCTAGGTCTCATGCTGTACCATTCATGAGGCTTTGATCCTAATCACTGACGGACTTATCGTCCCCTAGACAGACAGTGCAGAAAAGGGTATTGTGGTGGCCCCTAACATCAGACCTCGTGTACAGAGTAGAGCCTCAGGACTTGCTGGTTTCAGCTCTGCTCTTGGGGCAGTCACCCTGATGGCAACTTGGAAGGAGAAGTGAAGTGAGAATGCCCATGGGCTTGTTCAAAGTTTTCCTAAAACTGAAATAACTTCTTGTCCGCCATCATAATAGCCATGCCCCTGACAAGCTGAGCAGGAGGAGGGGTACAACCAATCATCTCTGCCACACTTTTCCTTCTGCGGTGCGGCAGTAGACTGGACCTCCTGAAGGCCAGCTCACCTCTACTTTCTGCATCCTGGCCGGACCTATCCCCAAAACTTCCTTCATAGTATTATGTCTGGTCTCAGCATTGACAGTCTCCAACAATCGCTGCTCTTTGAGTCAGAAAACCTTTTCTTTTCTTTTCCTCCTGTGTCTTGTTCTTGTTCCCGCTTGTCCCATCACCCTCGAGCAGTGCGAATGATTGATCTCACACCCCTTTATAACCTGCCTTTACCTCTCTGCAGATATTCATTGAGCCCCTTCCCCACCACCCTCTTTTTCTCATAGCCTTCCGTGATTGCAGGGCTCGGTGTCCACGGTGCTTTTTGTCGTTTATGTTGCTCTCCCTCGAGTCCTGCCTAGTTCGTCTTTGTCTCTTCTCAGAAAAAAAAAAAAGAAAGAAAAGGAAAAAAAAAAAAATGGAGGTCCCAGAGCTGTCAATTAATACCGAACAGCACAAAGTCTAGCATTTGTGAGGATGGGGATAATCAAAGAGCATGAAATGTATCTGCTGCTGCCAGCATTGAATTGGACCCTGCATATTCTGATGCACTGTCAGGTTTGTTAGCTTTGCTCTTTCTCCCTTTGAAGAAATGCAAAGGCCAGGGTATTGTGTTGGCATGCTGTTATGGTGTCTTTAGTTATATATCACTGCGCTGTGATGTGGCATTGCCATGTCACGACACAATGCCGTTGCTCTGTGATAGAAGAGCATTAGTCAGTGGTGCAGCGGTCTGGTGAACCGACCTTACTGTGATGGGAACATCCCTTGATAAAGAAACAACCTCATTCAGCGGTGCAAAGCTGCGATCTCTACATCATAATGTCTCTGTCGTCCATGCCAGGAAAATATGGGCCTTCATCGTTCTCTCGTGCATCAGTCACATTAGTGGGTATAGAAGCCAACTTTATCTACCAGCTAGAGAAATTCCTCCTTTATCTCAACCGAAGTCCAGGCTTCGGTCTGCTCTGATCCACCCTTGGCGAGAGGTTATCACATAACCATATTACATCTGAATGCCTTTCTGCAGCACCATCACCCTCTCGTGTCAAAATCCAGCATCACAAAGTCTTGGGGTCGGCCTGTGCTATCCCAGTATTGCCGGTGGGATTGAGCCCATGGTCCACGTGAGGCTGGTTTACCTTTCCTGTGGTTTCCTTCTTACAATCCAGTCTTGACGTGGCATTTTTTTTTTTAAATGCAACTCTTGCTCATTTCATATTTGGGAAGCTAAGCAGAGCGGTGAATGTGAAATCAGAGTAATTTATAGTCCTCTGACCCGTTGCCATCTGCCGCCCAGGAAAACGATTATGCATTAAATGTCAAGTAGCATTTCCATAACATTTGCAAGGGACAGATATTGCTGAGAAGGTACCTCGAAGATGAATGGCACAAAGATCAGGCCTGCAGTCTCAGCTAGTGTATCCTGTTGTAAGACCCCATTGAAGGCAAGAGAGGTGATTTATAGCCGGATTCTGCCATCATCGTTTCCTCCCCTGTTATTTGGGCGTGGGGGTGGAGGTGGCTGTATTTGGTGGGGATTACAGAGAGATATTTATTGTGGGAACTGTAGAGAGATCCGAGAGAAAGCTTTGAGTTAGAAGGCTATGGATACAACCTACAGGAACATAGGAATATATAGGGAGATAGGATGGGAAGGGACCTAATTATCTACAGAGTCCAGGATAATGTGTGGAGACCGCAAGGAAGTAGAAGGTTTAAGGTGTCCCTCTGACCAGTCGCCCGTGGTCAACCTTCAGCAACTTTCCCCTGAGCCAGTTTTTATGTGCAATAAATTGGAGTCAGTCCTTGGAGCAGATGGGCCTCTTTTGTGAGTTTACAGTAATACGAATCAGAAGCAATCCCAGTGAAGTCAATAGATCCACCCCAGCAGAAGTGTAGTATGAGAAACTACCCCCTTAGTATTAGTATGAGAAACTCTGTGTCCCGTTCCAAAACTGGGATGATTTGGTGTTGTTGAGACAATTTCAAGCTACAAAATTCGACCCAGGCCCCAAGCTTCGGTTCAGTGCTGTAGCTAAGGTTCAAGTCCATCCTCCATTGCTATAATCAGACCATGTGATGGACGAGTGTCATGACTATGTGGTCTTACATGTCACGGGTATGGCCACGGTCCAGTGAATGCTAGTCGGACATGACCCTGTATCCTACCCTCTGTCCTCACCTTGCTCCTTCTAGCTGACAGAAATATAAAGTGCAGCTTGAGTGACCTCCTCCTCCCCCTCAGACATCAAGTGTCTCGAGTCCCCTGACCCATGCATGGAGGACAGCATGTCATCTGGCAAATGTCTAGCTTCCCATATGGCTTTTCTGTCACTTTGGTTCTCGCTGTGCTTGCTTTCTACTCCTTTTTTATTTGCATCATCCTGTTGCAAGTAGGAACAAAGAGCGATTTCTGTTATCTAATTCAATCAGCCAGAGGGGGGATTGGGCATGAAAGGGCTAATGCAATCTCTTATCTGCCTTGTGTCCACTGTAAAAAACAAACAAACAAAAAAACCCAAACCCAAGAGAGATGCAATAGTCAGTCCTGAATTCTCAGTTCAGCCTCATATGTACAAGTCTAAGGCATACATGACACCTCATAGCTTTTTCTTTTTGTGCTAACCACAAAACATTTTACTTGGTTATAGTAAAGAGTGAATACATAGTAGTTTACCTCTTCTTTCAGGTGGTGGGCTAATTATACCAGTTGCACCTAAATCCTTGAACTTAAGTCTAGATTGATGTGCAGAAATAGCCTATGGTTCATAACTGATCACTATGATATCGCACTGGGATTGATCCTTACTCAAGAAAGCGCTCTGGTTGAAGCTTGTGAGTTAAATCCTGAAACCCATGCCCATTCATGACTGCATCTTTGCTCAGGTCAAACTCTCACCAAAGTCCACGAGAGTTTTATGTCAGTAATGAAGGAGTAAAAAATGGGTAAAAACTCAGACATGTGGCAGCAAATGGTCACGAAGCCAACAAGTATTGTAGCGTGTATTGCACACCCTCTGTGCCTGATAATGTGAAGCTCCAGATGTTATTTTGGACCGTGGGGCAATCTCGTTGCATTTCTCATATGTGGCTCTGGTAGAGGGAGTGCCACCATCTCTTTGGCACATCCTTGTTCCTAGATGGCTCGAACACTCAAGTCAAGTCCTCATCACCACAATTGTCAGTGCTTGGCTCCCTTCTTGTCAGAGCCCAAGGGTTAAAGAGTAGGTGGAGGTGAAGGTGCTTTCTCACCATTTGAGCTGATCTATCCGGTTCCTATATGGGCCTTTTGACTAGTGTGGCGATATTGGCATTTGAGATGATGGCGATGCCCAGTGTCGCTCCAGGAGACGGAAACACAGGGCTGCCAACCCACCCATGCTAAGTTCACTTTCAGTAACAGTATTAAGTTGACCCCAAATAACATAGTTTGCCAGAGATTTCCCCTGGGGAGATCACCTCTGGAGAGAGAAGCCTTTGGTCAACAGGTAGCATGGGTTAAGCACCAGCCAGTCCCTTTGCTGTCTGGCCTCATGTTTGCATGGAGCATCTGTTGTAGGGCAGGACAGGTGGTCCCCAGAGGCTACAGGTGCCAAGTGCCCAGGATCAACTCTTGAAACTTCCAAACAGGCCCTCACCTGACAGCTATTTTCTTCATGCTGTAACGGTCCAAGCACCAGTAAATATTAGCTAAGGATTGACAGCCACCATGGCAAACTGGGTTTTTCTGCAGATGGTGTTTTTCGCTATATGTAGTGGTGTGGAGGTGTAGGACATGGGGTGGGGAGTTGGGGGAAGGGGGAAATGATGCATCTGTGCCCTTCCTCCCCACCCCTGGTACCTGTGCATGGTTGCATCATTACCTAGAGGACCCCGGGAAGTGTTTGCCACTTGTTCTGATGGTGTGGGTGCGATGAGCAACGCAGTCTCCTGCTTCCCCTTGGAGAGCTCACAGTGCATTCGCCTTCACCTAAGCCAATTCTTTTAGAAGACTTTGGGAGCAGGAGGTTGAGTTGGCTCAAAGGAGCAGTCAAGTGGAGCTGGGTGGGGTGAAGCGGGGCTCTGATGTCTTTACTTCTCTCCCCTTCTCCTCTCTGGACAGGGCTTCCCTTTGGAGCTCCTGCGTGGTCTTACCTCTCCTGGCGCTCACCTGGATGTCGGCAGTGCTGGCGATCACGGACCGGCGATCGGCTCTCTTCCAGATCCTCTTCGCTGTCTTTGACTCCCTGGAGGGCTTTGTCATAGTGATGGTCCATTGTATCCTTCGGCGAGAGGTGGGCACGGCCAGCCTTCCTACCACGCTCCTATAGCCCAACGGGCTGTATATGAGAGGTCCCTGGGGACCAGATTAGCAATGGCATCTTTTCTCTAGCCAATGCAGCGATTCCTCAAATGTGATAAACGGTGTGCCGTGAGATAGGCACTGCAATGAGCATCGAGACGTTACAGGCTGGAGAGGCAGGTGGACGGCTGTTGCAATGACAGTGAGCAGTGCGGTGCCATTTTGGGGGCACTCTCTGTTGAGTGCATCATCTAGATTGCAATGTTGTTGTGTTCATGTTTGTTGACTATCAGCAGTGCAGAGACAAAGCAATAGTCATGGAAACAGCTGAATTTTAACCTCCTGGGTGCGTTGCCCTTCAGTGGATGGAGCAATGCAGTATAGGAATTGCAGTGAGAAGGCATCATGTTCTCATCCTTTGCTGTAGGCCAATATTTCCAGCTGAATTGCATCTCCCATGGTCAGGTGATTTTGCCCACTCAGAGACCAGCCTTTTGCGAGTCGCAGGGATTCTTCAGACTGACAGTTTCAGTGGCTGCTATGATAAACTGCAGCCTTCTGGTTCACTGGCCTGTCATTTAGGGTCTGTTGGAAATGAAAAAATGTTTTAAAAGCCTAGTAGTTGCAGGAAAGGGGTTCATCTGCTTTTAAACATAGCCAATAGCACAGGATGGGGTGGTTGGTTTTGGCGGTGGAGAGTCGTATTGAGATTGTCCCCAGGGGCATTGCGCTATGGTATGAATAACCCCTGGAAACTGGGACCATAAAGTATAGCTAACTAGGAAGAGATGGAAGTTGACTAACACCTAGGCAGTGTCCCTGTGGATTAACACTTAAAACAGTAAAATCCTTCAGGGATGGAGGGTTTTATACACACCCATATGTACATATCTATTACCTATATAATATTTTTCCATGTTAATACTCTGAGAATCTATTAATTGCCTCGATGAGCCACTTTATATTCAAATGCATGCATTTTGCCTTGGCTTACCCTCTTCATATTAACAGGGCCAGATTTATTGTCCTGATGTCTGACAAATGAAATCAGTAGACTTATACTACTGACTTGGCCCAGCGTCTTTTAATTAATTTTACTACACAGTCCAGCCCTGATCTAACTCCCATTGCAGTCATTGTGAATCTGTCCATCGATTTTGATAGGTTTGGGATCAGGCTCCTAATACAGGCAATGAAGAATCATGATCGGACATAATGCATGCTTATATTATGATCTATGCACCAGGGTCCATGGTAAGTATTATGAATTACAGAATAAATACCTTGGTATTTCTGCCTGTGCAAATCAGGCAAGTAAGTACTTTGAGAACAAGCATGTGTAATAATGCAGCAGGCCCGTAGAGCCTCGGGATTGCCATGCTGTTGTGTTTGATAAATGCTACATAAGCCCTTTTAAAGCAGTCCTAAGCAAAGACAAAATCCAGGTGCTTTAGAGGTGCCAAGTATTACGTCTTTCATTCCTGGCCAGGCTGGCTGCTGATTTACGTGAAGCAATGCCTCCAGCTGACTCGGTCTTCCGCAAACCCATTTCTCTGTGCAGGTGCAGGATGCCGTGAAGTGCCGAGTGGTCGATCGTCAAGAAGAGGGGAACGGCGACTCTGGGGGCTCATTTCAGAATGGACATGCTCAGCTAATGGTAGGATAAAGTGTCACCGCTCTGCTCTCAAGGGACCAGGGACACACTTTAGCCTGGAACCAATGAACCAACATCTTGACACCTTATGCATGATCTCTCTTTCAAATCTTTTAAAGCTGGGGTTCAACCCAGCTCCCTCCCAGCTATAACTTCTCTTTCCATCTCTTCTGGACAGTCATAGGCCCAACCTCGTCCCCAACTCAATGTTTTCTTGGTCACTTCTGCCTCCGATATGCTGCCTTGTCCTGGAAAGCAGCCATTTAATATGTATTTCATCTAGTGTGTCGTATTGTATCCATGATTTTCAAGACAGCCCTTTGCAGAGATGCTGTCCTTCCAAAGGACATTTTCTTGGCTTTGCCTCCATCTTACTTCCCCTTACTTCTCTTAAGTGCCATTTTTGCAAACACCCATAGAAATCATCATCCTTTTACAAACTGGAGGGGAGATGCTGCAGGGGCCATCCTGCATTGTCCCCGGGGGCATAAAGTGGATAGCCTTGGAGGTTTGTCTTGTCTCCAGTTTCCAAGAATTGGGTGAATAGGTCAGTCCCACCGATTGCAAGTGTTTAACAGGTGCCAAAAGGTGCCAGTCAAGGCTTTCCTCTATATTTCTGCCACCCCAGGCCTGGAGACTCAATATGTTCACGGATAGATTCATAGACATTAGGGCTGGAAGGGACCTTGTGAAATCATCAATACATTCATAGGAGTGAGCATGAATAAATTCAGGAACAGATGAGACCACTCAATCATCCAGCCGACCTCCTGTACATTGCAGGGCATCGACTGTCAGCTCTTCCCCTGGCCTGAGCCCACTGATTTGTGTGGGACTCAGGAGGGTCTTCCTGAACAACTTTGCTTGAATGTGTTTGGAAGTGGACCTCCCATTTGTCCAAAGTACAAGATATTTTTTTGGATGGAGCCAGCTTGATAAAACATCTGGATTATTCTGTATGACTGCCCGGTCTTACTACTCTGCTGGGCTTTGTGTTGTCCACAGCTTATCAGCTGCAATACTGTATTTACGTCCAGAGCAGGGATGAAGATGGGGAATAGCATCGGGCCTTCTTCCAGTCCCTTAGAAACATTCTCCTTCTGTGATGAGTTCTCAATGACAGCTATTTTTGGAGATCAACCAGCTTCTTGATCTTTTAAACATATTTTACTAATATCAATGGGTGCAATTTTTTTTTTTTTATCCAAACACCCTGCCATGCTAAGTCAAATGTCTTGCAGAAGCCTATGGGTTTTTTACACCAGTGAAGTTACTTTCATCAGCCAAACTTGTAATCCCCTCAAAGAAAGAAATCACTTTATTTTTGATGAGACCTATTTTTCATTAAACCCTGTGGCCTGATAATTATGTTCTTTTTTTTTTTTAGCTCTCTTAGTCAAATCCTGGCTCAGCTTTTCTAGCAGTTTTTTTTTTTCCCCTCCCCATTATTTCAGGCAGGTTCTTTTGTGACCCTATTTCTCCCACTCTGTGGTATAGTAGCAACCAGATGCTTTAATAGACTTGCCCCTTGCATGGACAAAGAAGAGAGCTTGCGCGTATTTGCTTTTCTTGTGTGGCCCTGTTTCTCCCACTCTGAGGGATAGCAGCAACCGGGTATTTTAAGAGACTTGCCCATCACATGGACAAAGAAGAAAGCGTGCATATGTTTGCTTTTAGCATGATCGGTTTGCATCCCAGATGCATCAGTGAGGCAGCCCCCCCCACACTCTTCTGTTTGGGTAGGGCTCTCTTTTTGATACTAAGGGGCACTTGTACACATAACAGCATTTAATCCTCATTCAGGTAAATAGGTTATTAAATTTGAAATGGTTTTAGGGGCATTAAATGCCAACCCTAGCTGTCCCAGCAGTTGGTCATTGTTTCTCAGCAGGCCTTGACTGGTGCATTTTGTTATCAGACCTACTTCAATCCTGGAAGAGGGTTCATTTGGGCTGCTCTGATCTGGAAGATAGTCCTATCTAAACTTGATGCACATGAGGACTCTTCTCTTGTGTCTTGGGAAGGCGAGAAGATAATCCAGGACACGGTTGTCCTCTGTCCTCAAGCCATGCTAGAAGTTGTGGCCACAGCTCACATGCAGGCAGGCGGATGCCTTTGCTGAGCGGTTTTCCCCCAGCACTTGGCCTGAGACTGGATGAGCAGCTCCTTTCTCCATGTCCAAAGCTCTTCCTTTCTATCCAGGTTGCCACGGGAGGGTGTTTGACCCATAATATCAGTGTTCATTGGTTTCCAGGTGGCCTTCCCCATCTCTCTTACCCATCCCTCCCCCCCCCCAGTTGACCATGCCCTCTGCTTTCTCTGTCTTTCAGACCGATTTTGAGAAGGATGTGGATATGGCTTGTAGATCAGGTGAGCACATCACAGGTGAGATATCGACAAGTGACCTGGTTTGGGGATTGAACTTGGCCATTTTTTTTTCCTTACTATTTTCTCTGTGTCTGTCCAAGTGGCTTGTGTGTCTGTGTATGGGCAGCCCCCTCCCCGGAAATCCTATCTCTGCCCTCGTGCTTGGCTTTCCCGCTGTCCCACCCAAATCCGGCTGGGCCCCTTAGCTGAGATCAAGCCTCCCCTCAATTGAACTTTCTTTCCCCAGGGCCCGTGCCTGGCAGGGGAGTGGACTCCTTGCTTTGGCAGGATGTCTCCATCTCTCACTGCCCACCTCCTATTTTCTCTGGCCTCCGGTCCCTCCTGGCTCCAGCAGATAGCACAACGTTGGTGCAGACCTAAATCAGGCTGGGTTTATGGAGACGGGGGGATTTGCCTCCCTCCTGGCCCCTCTGCCAGAAGTCCCTTGAGCCCTGGGGGTCTGCATGGACCGGCCACCCCCCCTCAATACCATCCGTGCCTGCGGTGCTGTCTGTGGATGTGCTGTCCTGTGTGCGGTCTGCCTCCTCTTTGCAGGTTTTGCCCTTCCCTCCCGCCGCACGCCTGAGAGGCTGATTTTTAGCAACCCCTTTGCAGGCTGGTGGGCTTTCTCCTGGGCATCCCCCCTTTCTCACGCAAGCGTCTTCCCCGCTCGCTTGACCCTTGCGTGTTATTCACATCTTCCAAACCAGGATCTCCTCTCTACCAGCTGCGGACTTTGCATCCAAAGTGCGGCGTTAGGAGCACGGGCAAGGAGTTCATTATTATTTTCCTCTGCTTCCATCTCAACGATCAATCACTTATTTATCTCTGTCCCTGTCTGTCTGTCATTTTATTTATTTCTCTCTCCCTCTCCCCGCACCCTCATTTGTCTTTGTCACTATTATCTGCCTATAATTTCTTTATTTCTGTTTCTACCTGTAATTTATTTATCTCTGTCACTTTATATCTGTAATTTATTTTTTGTTTCAATCTGGCTGTCTCCATTTCTATCCGTCTTCCTATCATTTATTAATCTCTGTCACTCTTTATCTGTCTGTCTGCCACTTATCTCATTCTCTGTCTCTCTCTTTTTATCTAATCTGTCTATCTACCTCTCTCTATCTACCAACCTACGCCTGATTGGTATAGGTAGGTAGGAAACAGATACCTTCCTCTCTACCTGCATATCTCATATTCAATGTATATTTATTGCACTATTATGCTTATGCTCATAATACCTTATTCCACAGTCTCTTTCTGCCTGTCTGTCTCCTACTCCAGGCCTCCCTTTTTATTGCTTTCTCTGTCACCTTCACACCATAGTTTGAGCTGCCTTCTTCTCTCCATTTGTCTCAGTCTCATCCCTTGGTAATGCCAAACCCTGGCTTTCCAAACATTATGTGCAAAAAAAATTGTGCCCACTTTGTACACGTTCTAGCCACCAGTGTGCACGCAGGTCGGATATTTGCACGTGCAGTGGGCGAAGATGACAGGGGCACTGTCCGATCACGCCCAGGCGGTGTGCACGGTCATGGAGACGTGAGCACCGGGCTCTGAAAGGCAGTGCTGCAGCCTCTAAGCAGACACACGTGGTGCAGGAGATTTCCCCGTGCTGCCAAAATGCTCCTGCGGGTGATTTCCCCGGGGAGCGGGGGGGGAGCTGATTGCTTTCCAAGACAGAAGATGCCTCTCCTTACAAACCCACCCTCGTTTCTTTGCCAGCTGTACAGTTCAGTGTCCCATGGGTGTCTGCCGCATGACAGAGACCTCACCAGATAAATCTGGGAACAGTCCCCTTTGCCTCCAGACCACACATCAACCCAGCAACCCAGTTAGTTTGAGCAGTGCCTTCAGCCCCCCCATGGCCTGAGTGTATCTCAAGTGCTTCATTGAATGCAGGCACCAGCTTAAAAGCCTGTATTATAGATTATAGGCACAATCCCTGAGAATTGAATGACTCCATAATTGCCTATTATAGATTATAGGCACAATCCCTGAGAATTGAGCTGACTCTGGTGCAATGTGAGGCATGCTCACCTGAGGTCCTGGGCAGAGCTTGTCCTGGGGTCTGGAGCCAAGGCAATGTTTTCTCCTGCCATAGTGCAGCATGTCTAGCTCTCTCAGCCTTTTCAAGCAAGGGGCATTGTTGTTTCATGTGGTTTCTTTGTAATTTGGCCCCCCCTGCACCCTCTGGGGCACCCATCTCCCTTCAGAGCCAGCTCCAGCAGGGGTTAGCAGTGAAATCCCAGGACCAGCAAACTCACCTCTGCACCACAGTGCTGCTTTCTCCAACAGGGAGGGCTGAGTCCCTCCCCAAAGACCCTTCTGACTCCCTTCTCTTGGAAAAAAAGACTCCCTTTATTTTTCCCTGAGTTTATTTCCCACTCTGGGTTGAAACGCTGGGTAAGTAACACTCAGTCTGACCCCATTCTGGTCCTGTCTATGCCCTTGAATGGCATCAAAGTCCAGGTCACCAGCTCATTAATATTTCTGTTGCAGGCTTATGTCTAGAAAAGAAGCAGTTGTCACTGTTTAGCAGACAGCGCTGTATGGGAATGTGTGTGTGTTTGTCCCCTGTATATATATATAATATATATATTTAATCTTCAAACTGGCATGTTCACTCCACACCTGGATTAAGGCTGTTTCCTGTGCTAAGAACAAGCACGCTTTAACTTCCGTTGTCCTTCAAATCAAGGTGAAAATCATTAAATAATGAACTCTCACAACAAACCTGGCCTCATTACCGGTAATAGAGCTCCGGTCTAATCACCAGCGTAGGGTCAGGAGTTTTACAATGACGTTTTAAAAGTTGAAATCACTTGATGCATTGAACTCCAAGCAGTTTGCAGGAATGGGTTAGCTTGGAGAAAATGTCTGAATTCAAAACATGGAGAACAAAAAAGCATCAGGCTGGTCAGGATGTTGTGTGTCCGTGGCTTTTACACTAAGAGTGATGGGTTTTGCCATTTGGCTTCGACAGTATAGCTAATTCACACTAGAAATATATACTGTATTAACAAAAAAATAAATTTTCCCCTCCCCTCCCAAAATGTTGGGCTTGCAACAATTTTCAAGTTTTTTTGGCTTTTTGCTCCAATTTGGGGTTCTTGAACCTTCTTCTGGGTTGGGAGATCAGGTCTCTGTCACCCTCTCCATCCCAGTGAGGCAAACTGGGTGTAGGAAACCAGAACAGAGCTGTGCCCACCACCCATGCATCCTATTTGTGGGAGTCAAGGGAACATGCCAGGATGCCTGGATGAAAGCACGAGTGTTGATGTTGTGTTGAGAGCTCGATGGAGGCGAGTTTGAGTTTTTGAGGATCCTCCTTTGCTTCCCGCAGTGTTGAATAAAGACATCACTGCCTGCAGGACCTCCACCATCACCGGGACGCTGAAGCGCCCATCTCTGCAGGACGAGGAGAAGCTAAAACTGAGTCACCAGAAGGGCTCATCGAACTTCAACAGTCTTCCAGCCAACGTCTCCAAGATGCACCTCCAGGGCTCGCCGCACTACCTGGGAGCCATCAACTTGAATGAGTTCAGCAACCACACGCTCACCCTGAAGAAGGATAAGAACCAGCCACCCAAGTCGATCTACATCTGCGACGGGGACATCTTCAAGAAGCTGGACTCTGAGCTCTCGAGAGCGCAGGAGCAAACGCTGGACACCAGCTACGTCATCCTACCCAGCAACACCTCCACCCTGCGGGCCAAGCCGCCCAAGGATGAGAGCAAGTACAGCATCAACATTGACCAGATGCCCCAGACGCGGCTCATCCACCTCAGCATGGCCAACGACCCGGGCTTTGTCATCAAGAGTCCCCCGCGGGAGCCCCCCACGGTGGCCCTGACATGCAGCGAGGTGCAAAGCTCTCCCATGGTACAGCAGCAGCAGCAGCTGCAGCCGCCGAATATCTCCAGCGAGTCGCAGATCCCCAACAGCCTGTGCGACACGGGCGACTCAGGGAACTCAGGCCTGGTGTCCAAGAGTGAGACCGTCTCCACCCTCTCCATGAGCTCCTTGGAGGTAAGTGGACGATGGGCGGCCGCTCGGAGCCCGTCTCAACATCTGAACCACCTTCAGGGTTGATGCACAAGGGCCGGTACCAGAGGTTTCAGGAGAAGACTGCTTTCCTAAATGCATTGTCAAGCAGCTTCAATGCCGTGCTCCCGGGAAGGGAGATGCTGATCCCTGCAGGGGATCATAGGAAACTAGGACTGGAAGGGTCTTTGCAAGCTCATCTAGTCAAGCCCCCTGCTCCAGGCAGGCTCATCCCCGATAAAACTGCCCCAGCCAAGTGTCTGTCCAACCCACTCTTGAATGCAGATGCCACAGTTTCTCGAGGTAGCCTGCTCCAATGTTTGACCCCCCTCGTAGCAAAGGACTTGACCCCTGAAGAGGCAGGACCCATATGGTTTTCATCCTAGACTATCAAGTTGCAGGTGCCCTCCCTTTTCAACACAACTGTCCCTCTCCCCCTGTTTTCAGCTCTCTGCATTTATATCAGAGGTCTGCAGCCCCTTCTTGAAAATGAGCTGGCTGCAAGATTTGCCGCCGCTCGGCCAATTTCCTTTAGGCCCGTGCAAATTCACATCGAGGTTATTTAAGCTTTTAGCCATTTGAATGAGAGTCCTATGATGAGCTCTTCCTGGAAGGGCTTTAGGGGGATGCTAGTGATGGGAGGGTAAACTCCCAAGAACAATTTTGACCTTATAGACATGTGATTGTAGAAATTGGGTCCCTCCTCAAGCCTTTCTTGGTTCTTGCCTTGGGTCCCAGTTCAAACCATCTTGCCCTGGTTGCCACTATGAATCTTCTAGTTTTCTGGTCTTTGCTGCCATGCATTGATTTTCCACCACCTCTATGGACATTTCCCACCTCTATGGGACTGGCTGTAGTGTAAAGGTGCACAACTACTTCCTGCCTACCATACAGAAGTGTACCCTCTGTACCCACTGTGTAGGTTGGGACTGAGATGGAGGCTTGACACAGCCTGAGTCCAGTGCTGGCAAGAGCTCTCCCAGTTAAAGAGGAGAGGATGGGCACTCGTTGCCACATCCCGTATCCAGTAAGCTGTTGCAAGGGCTTCAAATGTTTGCAAAGTCTTCCTATCCCATCCATTGCAGTGAAGCACCCCAGGCACAAATGCATGCAGCTGCTCTTTCCTGGGGTAGCAGCTGAGATAGCTCATAGCAGCCCTGCTGTCTCCTTCTTGCTTTCAGAGCTGATGTAGGTGGGATAGGAGGCAGGGATGGACTCTCTTTTTGGGGCCACAGTCAATCACTCACTGATTTCTCTTTGCATTTGCAGAGACGGAAATCCCGGTACGCAGAGCTCGACTTCGAGGTGAGTGTGTCCTTCCATCTAGGCAGCAAGAGAGGGGATGAGGAGAGATAAACCGCAGCCAGGGAGCTAGAAAGGGTTGAGGGAGAGCAAGCCAGGCTGGCTGAATGGCAAGGTTTACTCAGCGTATCTAAATAAAGGGAAGATTTACCCAGATTTGCCAGCGCTTAATTCACTGAGCGGTTAATGTTGTGCAAATGTTTGTAAATCAGGAGCTTAAATCCATTTGCACAAGGCTGGCAAACAGTCTCGTCTGGCAGGGCGAGCCTGGTAGGAAACCAGAGAAGGTCGAGTGAAAAAACCAGCCGACCCATGTGTGAGCTGAAATGTGCAGCTCTGTGCACCGGAGCTGCTCCCTTCTGCTTGTGCTGGCTGTTGGGGAGTCCAAGACCCTGGGGTTTTAGGGGGGAAGCTACTCAGATGACCCCCCTCCACATGGCATGGGAGCTAGTAATGAACCTTGCAGCAGCCCTTTGAGACCAGGAGGAATTCTCCCTGGTTTACAGATGGGCAAAACTGAGGCCCAGATCAGGGAAGTGTCATGCCCAGACAGAGACACTTGTAGTGGGCAGACCAATTCCTGGAAGGGCTCGCCAGCTCTGGAGGACAACGTTGGTGTTAGCACAAGGTGCAATGCAGGTGGCGTGGGTGACGCGTGTGACTCCTGTCAAGGTTGGCCCTAAACCTCAGTGTGGACATGGTCTCGGGCTTACCAACTCAACCCTAAAAAATCAGGTGCAACTTGCACTCCGGCTTGCCCAAGTGGAGTTTCTGGCTCTGAGCAGGGAAGACCTTGTCCAGGCTGCAGGTTTTCCCTGCGGATAGATTGCAAGGGCTGAGACACTCACTTTAGCCCTCTTCTAGCTGTCACCCTGGATGCTTTGAGCCGCGGAGGGGTGAAGGGTTGGCTGACCTGTTGCACTTCCCTTTGCTTCAGAAAATCATGCACACGAGAAAACGTCACCAGGACATGTTCCAGGACCTGAACAGGAAGCTGCAGCACGCAGAGAAGGAGAAGGAGTCTCCGCCAGTGGACAGCAAGGTCAGTCTCGCGCCCTTCAGAGCCGCGGCTTTCGACTCCCAGCACCCTGTGGCACACAGGGATGGACCGAGGAGCTGGAAAATGCAGGGCTTCTTCCCTGCCTCTCCTATTTGAGTTTCATTTCACCCTCCACTTAATGGCGTGAGCAGGTGTGTGTGTGTGTGTGTGTGTGTGTTTCCAGGCTTGCCCTCTTCTAGCTGCATTCACATATAGCTTGGCCACGTGTTGGCTGAAGACCGGAAAGGAGAACAAGTCCCAAAGCTGTTTCACAGCCGGTGACACTTGCACTCTCCTTTAACTCAAAGAGCAATGGCTTGTGGCTGTGAAGCAACTTTGAGCGCTTTCTCCACCTTTCGGGTCTGTGGCCTCCATCGCCTTGGATGCACATGGCTTTTGCAGATGGGGTGGGGGGTTTCTGACATCCTTTGCACCCTCTACAGGGGCTGCCTTTTAGCCCATGGTGGGAGCAGAAGCCACATCACCGGGATGAGATTTCAGCTGCGGTGAAATGGTCTGACCTCAGCAAGGGGGGTTAATTAAAGTGGGACAAGAAACTTGCAGCCGTTTTCACTTGCGTAGTGCTTTCCTAGGACTTCTGCGGCAGGGGTGGAGACGTGGGGGGGGGATAGGCTTCACGAAAAGGCGAAGAGCAAGGCTTGGAAATACCAAATGTCGCCGGGGCCTGCTTCAAGGTCTGTGCAGCTGCGGGGTGGCCTGCATTACACTGTCACAGCTGCTTCTGGCACTTAGAGCAGTCTGGCTCCATGCAGGGATGTCCCTTCCAGCAAGCCACGTCTTGCAACAGCTTTCGGGGACAGCGCTCAGTGGCCGCAGCTGGCCCAGGAACCGAGTCGAAGGCAAAGACATGAATCGCCTCCAGCAGAACAGGAGAGAGATGTGGGAGCAGCTAAGTGCAGGGCATCTGCAAAGCCCGGGTCAGATCTCCCCTCGGGATCATCCTTGAATGAGATTTCTCCCTGGTTGGTTGTAGCATCTTCCATCCGTCTACACGAGAAGCCGCCGGGGCTTTGCAAGGAGGGGCCATTGCAGCTTATTTTGGTAGGATTTCCTCTGAGAAAAACCCATGCTGCCCACATCAGAGGATGAGGTGAGAGTTTAGTCCACCACAGAGACAGGACCCTGCATCATCCAGTGCAGCGCTGCTGGGATCGAGCAGTGTCTGTATCGTTTTTGGAGCATGCAGGACCATCACTGAGCAATTGGTGCTGCCCATTAGTGCCCATCTGTGTGCCAGGGAGCAGGGCTGAGGATCCCAGGGCAGCCCCAAACCTGGGGTATGCATTCCCTATTGTGCATGGAGAGACCCAGAGCACTAGGCTGGGGTGGTGTATGTGCAGATCCACTCCTGAGCATTTGCTGCTGCCACATTTCTGGTCACAGGCACATTTGGGAATGGCCCGAGTGGGCAGTGGGCTCATACTGAGGCCAGACACAGCTTTATAGTCCCAGCCTTCAGTAGAAGGGAACTAAGCAGATGTGATGTAAATGCTTGTACAGCCCAATTCCCCTTCTGGCCACCACCTTTGCTACCCCAAGGGCCCGACCACAACATTTCCTACTGTAAGATTTAGGGGCTGTCATTCACAGAGCAATGGGGGCCAGCAGAAAAGCCCCCTGCCCTTTTGGACATGAGCAAGGCCATGAGCATGCCACAATGCCCTTTTACCTCTCTACACATCCTCCCGTAGAGCAGAAGAGGTTTCTGGCGAGTCTCCGGGCTCATCCACCTGCATTGCTGAAGCTTTGATTTCATTCTCCTTCAGCTGCCTTTGAGTGACGGCAGCCTGGTCTGGCCCTGACTGTCCCTGTCATTGCTCCGACATCTCTTGACACCATGCTCCATTGCCCTAGTTGCTCTCCAAGGTATGAAGCTTTTCCTAATCCTTCCCTGGCTCTGCTCCCTTCCCCTCCAAGATCAGAGACCTGCTGCTGGGATTCAAACCAAATACCCGCTTGGCAGTCTAGTCCTTCCATACGATGTAGGATGGAGGGTGACTTTGCTCGATAACTTCGAATTTAAATGACGGTCTGTCTCTGTTCTGCGGAGCTGCTTTTTAATAGAGTAAAAATGACCTGCCCATCGTGGCATCTGGCTGGTTTCTCTGCAATGAGCTTTTTTGCAGCCACTATCAGATAGTCAGAAGATGCTGGAAGGGGCTGGCTTTGTGTTTTGGGACTGCTGCTTCCAGAAGAAGTTTTTGATTATTATTTATTTCCATTTGATATGAAAAGCCCATTTTCAAAATCCCTTCCAGAAGAGGTTGGTAGTTCAATACCAAGCAATCTTCTGCACATGGACAAGATCCTATTTCCCCCCTGCCCCATGCTTATCCTCAACATTATGAACCTTATATTACTGCCATTGCAGAGATGAAGACAACCACCCTTTTGCCCAAAGATACACCTCGAGTCATGGTAAGGAAATGACCTTTGTGGTGGAAACAGAGCTCAGGGTGTCCTAATACTTGTGGCCGGGTCTAGCTGTTTGGCTCTCTCTCTACATTAGGATTGCTTTAGTGATATAAAAATAATAGTGCATTATACCTGCAAAAAGGCATGGCTGGCAATGGTTCAGGTGTGTTGTTGCAGCTCTAGAGGCATGAGTTCAAGTCTCTTTGCAGACTTGGGCTAAAAACTGTTGTCAAATGGCTCAGCTTGGCTCATTCAGGCTGGGGGGTCAGAGGCAGTCAGATGTGATGCTAGCCACATGGCAGCCTTATGTGCTGGTGGCTACAGAGATTGGCCTGCCTTAGCCATTGCTTTAGCCCATGATCTACTGGGATCAGGTGAAGCTTTGTCTCCCGTGGTGGACCCAGATATACCAACAATACTGCCTGCTGTACTGGCAATGAAACCATCCCCACAAGCAAAGCATGTTTTCCTGTTAAACATGAAGTTTTGCCAGTAGAGTAGGGTGCCACCTTAGAGGCTAACTGATTACGAGAGACGTGAGCTTTTGGAGGCAACAACCTACTTCCTCAGTAGGTTAAAATAGTTTGGCTGCTTTCACTGCATCTAAACCAGTGGGTTTTCAACCTGTGGTCCATGGACCCCCTGGGAGTCCACAAACCATGTCTAGGGGGTCTGCAAAAAATGATTATGAGCAATCAAAAGTATGTGAATACCCACACGTACGATTCAAAGAGGTCTGCACCTCCATTTGGATTTTTTTAAGTGTCCACATATGAAAAATAGGTTGAAAACCACTAGACTATGAGTTTCTGGCCAGCATATCTATGTCCATCCAAGACTGTACCTCTTCACAGCCCCAGCCAACAGAGCTATGTCTGCACAAGTCTGTTGCATAGCTCTGGCCCTAGAAATGCTTGCCCAGATGCAAAGGGGTGGGCTACAAATGGTTTCACACTTACTGAGAATACGGCCCGTTAAACAACACCCGTAAGTCTCATCTCCTAACATCGCAGAATTATTGTGCTGTAATTTCCCTGGGCTCACAAAGATATTAGCAATACTAAAAGGAGGGCACTTCTTGGCCCTGATTCAGCACATGCCCCATTAAGCAGACCATCAAAACCCCTGCAGATGCAATACTCGGGGATACTTCGGTAGGTGCTTACAGCGATGCAGCTATCTAAATACCTTCCTCAACTGCAACCCTGGAGGCTCATCCAGAACCCACTGCGATTAACGCGTTCCCATTGCCAGCAATGAGCTTTGCATTAAATTTCGAATGAGCGTTGATGTTACTGAGACATTACCGTAGAGGCTCTGCGGAGGGGTAGAGGAGGAGAAAGGGAACGCTCCTTGTGATGGAGAGTCTCTGCAGGTCAAAAGGAAAGTACAGAGAAAACATCATCCTAGGAAAGTCCACTTTGTAGTAGTAGCATTGCTAGCAATTATTTCCATGTAACCCACAGAGCAGGGCCGAGACTAAATTAACGGAGAGACACAGAGGCCAATTAAGTCATCCAGGCTGTTCCTTAGGGTTCAGCATATGATTGTTCCTCCTGATACATTATCTGTGTATATTCACTTTATGGAAATGTATCCCTCCATGGCTAGGCTGTATGCACAGCTATTTCTGATAAGAAAACAAAAAAAACCGGCATCAGCCAAGAGAGCCAGGTTTCAGAAATCCCAAATCCGCTTGGATCCCAACCCAGGTACGCACTCACCTGTCTAGTGCATGGATACACATACCTTGCACATCTGAGCTCATGGGAACTAGTCAGGGAAGCAGTTTCCACCACCAAGCTGAAACTACCACCTGATACTGGAGAGCTCTTCGGTCCAGCAGAGACAGACGTAGCAAGGGCAGTTCAGATTGGAAAGAAGAAGCAATTGTTGAATGTGGTAGTTCACGCATTGAGGCATCACACTAAGGGACGTAGTAAATCCTCTTGTGAACTTGACATCAGGATTGAGCATCTTTCTAAAAGACCCAGGGCAGCTCAGCTAGACGTCATGGTGTTGGCACAGGGATTGCCACTGTAAGGTCTGCATCAGAAGTATTTGCAGTCACTCAACCAAACCCAAATATGGAGGGGGAGCTCACAGGCTGGGGGGAGTAGCATCCCTGAGAAGGACCGTGGGGCTTTGATGGATCACAGATGCACTATGGGTCTGCAACGTGACTCAGCTGTAAAAAAAAAAAAGCAAATACAATTTTGGGTCTCTATCAACAGGAGTATTGGGTGATGATGCCACTCTACATGGCACTAGTTAGGTCTCATCTAGAATAGGGCATACCATGCTGGCCTCATCATTTTAAGAAGGATGCTAAGAGAGAGATGCCAAAAATGGCAAAGGTGTTGGAAGGCAAATCATACAAGGAGAAGTTGAGAGACCTCAGCGTGTTTGAGTATGGGGTGCTAGCAATCTTCAAATCCCTGAAAGGGTGCCATAAAGAAGAAGGAGTACCACTTCTCTCCCTTGTTGCATGGCTTCAAATGATAGCAAAGTTGATTTAGATTATATCCCGGGGGGGGAATGCATTATTGTTAAAATCCGGAGGCAGA